GTCAGAGGGAGAGGGGACATCAGCACTGAGAGAGCAGCTCCAGCATTCCTGAATACCTTCCCATGTAATTATTATTATTTTCTTTTCATAATGCTGTTTTTAATGTCAGGGTATTTATATGTGGTATTTATGTGGTTATGTGGATTTTCCAATTTCTTAGGGTTATAATATCCCCGTGTTAATATGCATACATTTTATACAGCCTTCAGCCCCTGCGTGTGTGTGTGCACATTTGTTTGCACATGTGTGTGTTTGCACATGTATGTACGTTATTGCTTCCTGCATATTTTCTATTTCCTGCACTTTGGAGCAGCCAGAATAGGCTCGATTATGCTGTACTAACAAACAACCCTCAGATCTCCGTGGCTTCCCAGAACAACCTTTCTTGTTCATTTTATGTATTATTTGTGGGTTGGCATAGAGTCACTACCCATTAAAGCAACTCCTAGATCCAGGCAGCCACACGCTGGTTCCTATGGCATAGGGAAAAGAGTATTCTGGAAGGTCTTGCCCTGGCAGTGGAATGTTCCAGGCTGAAAGTGACAGCCCTTATTTCCCACTGGCAAGAAGAAATCACGTTTCATCTGTCACAAGGGTCTAGGAAGTAATTCTACCTTGTGCCCAAAAGCTGGATGGCAGGGGAAGAATCCAGAACTATTTGGCAAACATCTCTAATAATTAGCATACGTTTTTAGCTGGTGAATCACTTCATACTTCACTGAGAAAAGTGAGGTGTTCTCCAACCACCCAACTCCCTCCCCTGCAAAAAACTCTGAAACTTCCTCATCTGCCTATTATCAAATTTCCCATCCTGTCTGAATTTATATCTTCTCTTCCCTTCAAGTCTATCCGATATAGGAGGTATCTTTTCTCCTATCCAAGTGGTTTGATCACATTCTCTTGTCAGGCCTTCATTTTTAGTGTTTCTTTTTCTTTTCTTCTTCTTCTTTTTTGTTTTTGAATCGGATGGGGTCTTACTTTGTCACCCAGGCTGGAGGGCAGTGGTGTGACCACAGCTCACTGCAGCCTCAAACCCCTGGCCTTAAGTGGTCCTCCTGCCTTGCCCCCACCCCAGTAGCTGGGGTGATAGGCGTGAACTACCACACCCAGTGATTTTTAGTGTTTCTTGATTTCGGTCCTGTAAATACTCTCACCCTGACCAACGTCAAACTACCAACCTAGAGTTAATGCACGCACAGTTGGGAGAGCTGTACACAGTAGGCACCTCTGAGCAGATGTGAAGGAACTTTAGCACACCACTGGATTTACAAGATGGACACAGGTACACAAGGGGTGCACACCCACAGCGTGTCTGTGATGAGAGCACTCACGCTAAGCATGTTTGTATATGTGTTATATGTGTATATGTGCGTGCATATTTTCATTAAGCTTGATTTCTTTCTTTTTAGATTAAAAATTAAACAGTTCTGCTATTCTCCCCCCACCCCCAACTGTAATGGGTTGCTTTGTGGGTCCCTGCGCACCTCACTTGGGCGACTGCTGCTCCACACTGCGGGTCCTTCTCCCTGGTTATCGGCCCTCTCTTCTGCATCCACGGCCTCACGAGTCCACCTGCAGACTCCAGGGCTGTCCATCAGTAGGATGATTATTCCCTGATGCAGCGTCCCCGTATCAACAGCCCTGCTTTTCTGTTCTCCTTCATAGCAGAGCCATTCGGAGTCGTGCCGTCTCCACTGCCTCCTCTTTCATTCCGTCTTCAGCCTGCTCCTGTCCCTGCCACACTCTGCTGACGTTGCTCCTGTCATCGTCACCAGTGATTTCCATGCTGTTGAATGTGCTGGACAATCTCTGTCCTCTTCTCCCTTGGCCTCTCTGGGGCAGCCTATGGGGTTGACTGTTCCGTCCTTCTTGGCATGTGCTCTTTTAGCTTCTGCGTTAGTACACTGCCCTGGGTTCTGCTTGGTCTCATTGTTGAACATTCTTCTGTGATTCAGGAAATAGCTCTGGTTCCCTTCCTGTATTTGTCCTGTTTTCCTCGGTGATCTCATGCAGTTCTCGGCCTTCAGAAACCAGCTGTGTGCTGACAACTCCCACACTGAGTTCCTCGGCCCCGCTTTCTCTTCTGAGCTCCAGATGTGTGTCCAGTTCTCCCTTTGCTATTTTCACTTGGAGATTTCATAGATAGCTTAATGAATACAGTTGCAAAATGGAAATCTTCATTCCCCCCCGTTCTTCTCCTTTGCTTTGTGCCAGTTTTCCTTATTTCAGAAAATAGGAAATTGGCCAGGCACGGTGGCTGATGCCTGTCATCCTAGCACTCTGGAGGACTGAGGCGGGTGGACTGCATGAACTCAGCAGTTCGAGACCAGCCTGAGTGAGAGCGGGAACCCCTTCTCTAGAAATAGTGGGGTGGGCTCGGCGCCTGTGGCTCAAGCGGCTAAGGCGCCAGCCACATACACCTAAGGTGGCGGGTTCGAATCCCCAGCCCGGGCCCGCCAAAACAACAATGATGGCTGCAACCAAAAAATAGCCGGGCGTTGTGGCGGGCGCCTGTAGTCCCAGCTACTTGGGAGGCTGAGGCAGGAAACTCGCTTGAGCCCAGGAGTTGGAGGTTGCTGTGAGCGTGATGCCATGGCACTCTACCCAGGGGGGATAGCTTGAGGCTCCGTCTCAAAAAAAAAAAAAAAAAAAAAAAAAGAAATAGTGGGGTGTTGTGGTGATTGCCTGTAGTCCCAGCTACTTAGGAGGCTGGAACAAGGAGATCACTTGAGTCCAAGAGTTAGAGGTTGCTGTGACCTGTGACCCCACAGCCCTGGGCAATCTACCTAGGGCACCAAAGGGAGACTGTGTCTCAAAAAGAAAGGGAAATTGTTTATTTGATTACTGACTCCAGCAATATGGATGGAAGTCGTCCCTAATGTCTATCCTTTCTTCATTCCATAAGCACATCCTTTTGTTCTTCTTATAATACTTTATCTGTCCATCTATCTCTGTCTTAATCTACACCATCATCGCTTTTCTCCTAGAAGGTTGTAATAGCACAAGTTGGATTTTCTGCATTCATGTTTGTCTGTTTTCCAATTCGTGCCCAATATACTAACAGATTCATTTTTATAAAAGGTAAGTCTGTTATTCTCCTCCCCTCGAAATCATCCAGGGCACTGAGAGTCATTTCCATATTCCTTACTGTGACCTGTGACCTGTGACCTGCCAGGCTCTATGTGACCCGGCCTCTGCCTTCCTCCTCATCCTCACTACACGCCACTCTCTCTTCAGCTCTTGAACTCTAATAAAACCGGCCTTTTTTAATCCTTAGAATAGGCCGCTCTTCTTCTCCAGGCCTTTGCTTTTTTGGTCTCTCTTTCGAGGAAGCCATTTCCCCACCTCGGCACACATCTGGTGTTTTCTAAACCTCCCCGTAAGTGCCATCTCCTTTGGTCACCCTTCTTACTCCAAGGACAGGTTTCTCCTTGGTTGTTTCTGTCCTGGTGCTTAACATGACTTGGGATTGCTCTCCTGACTTATTTACCTGATTTGGTAGAAAGCTGTGCTCTGTGAGGGCAGGCGCCTTATCCTTGGTGCTTGGTAAGTGCTCAGCAAACGTATGTTGAATGAAAAAACATATAAAAGAGCAAGTGATCGTGCCCTGCTCATGGTGTAAAGAGTGGCTTGTGAATGAAGATGTAGCAGGATGTATCTCAGCAGCCAGTGTAGGACAGTCGAGGTGCGGATCATGCCCGACTCCTTCCTTTAGGACTTAGCCTAAAGCCAGCAGGGAAGGGATCAGATTAAACTTTATAGGGCCGAGTGTAAAATGCTGTGCTTTGGTTGAAAAAAAAAAAAAAATTGGTGGCATTATACAGAATCAGGGAATTGGATTGACGCCAATTTATGTGTCAAGTCCTGAGTAGCCAGAGTGGTGGCTGAGAAGCGAATGGTGCAGCCCTGAATTACCTTAGTAAGGCCAGCTACTTCTGTATTAGGAGAGGGAATTGTCTTATGTGACTCTCCTCTAATGACACTAGTGGAATCATTACAGCTCTCTAGAATTGTAGTTGAATGCCTCATTAATCCATCTATGCATCTGTCCATTTAGTTACCACTTGCTAAGTGCATTCTGGGCGCTAGGATTATAGCCATGAACATCGTTGTAAAGGCTCTTGTGTTCATGGAACTTAACGTCTATCTGCCCAAGAGGAGTGAGTTCTTTTTCAGTGACAGTGTCAAAACAGGACCTAGTCTGTCATTTACTGAGAGGCCGTGCAATCCTGGTTAAGAACTCATGTCTGCAGCCGTCTAGACCAGTGGTTTTCAGCTGGTGCGCCGTGACACACTGGTGTGCCGTGAGAGGATCTTAGATGTGCTGTCAAAATTTTTAAAGAGCATTAATTAAATTATTTTTGAAAGACATTAAAAGCACAGTAAGTATACTCTTTTTTTGAGTCTTTTTTTTTTTGATCGACATAATTTTAAGTGTCCGTGGAAGTTTAATTATAGGTTCAAGTGTGCTGTGAAATAAAAAAGGGTGAAAAGCACTGGTGTAGACTCTAGATCCCAGTGGCTCCAAATCCACCTGGATGTGACTTTGGGCAAGATGTTAAAATGTCCCTGTGCTTCAGTAGTGTTATCTACAGACTGGAGACGATAATACTGTGCGGTTAGTATTAACAGTGTTGTGAGAAATAAATAGTGGGGTAAGCAGTTAATCAAATTGTGTTTGGGGAGGGCCAAAGGCTGGAAGGAAGATTTAGGGTCAGGAAAAGTGATCACAGAGCAGTAAGTACTGAAGGTCAAAGCCCAAATTGTTCTTATTTTTTGTTTATATTAATGATTACTAATAGATTGAACTTGAAAATCTTGAGGGTAGAGTTTGATGACATTTGTTTTATTTAGTTTTCTATTTTAGGCTTGGGAGATATGAATCCTGTCACCAGCGGTTTCCTCACCCCAACCCCAGTGCTTACAAAGAAACACGACTTTGGAGATAATAAAATTATGACTATTCACAAATGTGCATTTTTGCTTTGGTTTTCTTTTAGTGGCAGCTGAAATACCCTAAACTAGTTCTCCGAGAGGCCGGCAGTGTGCCCGAGGACATCCACAAGGAGGCCCAGGAAGCCTTTCTCACCCTGCACAAGCACGGCTGCTTATTTCGGGACCTGGTTAGGATCCAAGGCAAAGATTTGCTCACTCCGGTGTCTCGCATCCTCATTGGTAATCCAGGCTACACGTACAAGTACCTCAACACCAGACTCTTTACGGTGCCCTGGCCAGTGAAAGGCTCCAGTGTGAAATACGGTGAGGCTGAAATAGCCGCTGCTTGTCAGACCTTCCTCAAGCTCAATGACTACCTGCAGATAGAAACCGTCCAGGCTTTGGAAGAACTGGCTTCCAAAGAGAAGGAGAATGAGGACGCCGTGCCGCTGTGTGTGTCTGGAGATTTCCCCAGGGTTGGCATGGGGTCATCCTATGACCAAGATGAAGTGGACTTTAAGAGCAGAGCAGCGTACAACGTAACTCTGCTGAACTTCATGGATCCTCAGAAAATGCCATACCTGAAAGAGGAACCTTACTTTGGCATGGGGAAAATGGCAGTGAGCTGGCATCACGACGAAAATCTGGTGGAACGGTCAGCAGTGGCAGTGTACAGTTATAGCTGTGAAGGTACAGTCTGCTCTGGGGAAAAGCAGTCCTGAATGTGATATAACTCAGGAGATATATATGCGTGCATGGGTGTGTGTCTGTGCTGCATGTACATGTGTGACCACCTGCACACGTGTGTTGTGTGACTCAGGAGATACATACGCGTGCACGGGTGTGTGTCTGTGCTGTGCGTACATGTGTGACCGCCTGCACGTGTGTGTTGTGTGACTCAGGAGATACATACGTGTGCACGGGTGTATGTCTGTGCTGTGCGTACATGTGTGACCGCCTGCACGCGTGTGTTGTGTGACTCAGGAGATACATACGCGTGCACGGGTGTGTGTCTGTGCTGCATGTACATGTGTGACCGCCTGCACACGTGTGTTGTGTG